TTCCAGTCCGTCGGACGAGTCTGCGCAGTCGGATAGCCAGACGGCTATGGCGTGGGTGACGCTGGCACCAGAGCGGTTGGCGTGCTGATTGTCTGGCACATGTGAACGGCGTTTATTTTCCTGTTCCCTCTACGTGCTCTTCCTCTTCTTCCTCCTCCTCCTCCTCCTCATCATCATAGTCATCATCAAAACCATCATCAGCATCATCATCACCACCATCATCATCATCACCATTCGCCGCATCATCACCATCAACATCAACAGCAGCAGCACCATCATCATCATCATCCTCATCAGCATCATAACCATCACCATCAGCATCATCGGAATCATCACCACCATCGTCTTCATCATCATCAGCATCAGCAGCATCGGCGCCAGCATCAACATCATCAACAACAACAACAGCATCAGCATCATCATCGTCAGCATCATCATCAACAGCATCATCAACACCACCATCATCACCATCACAATCGTTGACACCATCATCATCACCATCTTCCTCAACATCACCATCATCAGCACCAACCACAACAACACCATCACCACTATCAGGAGCATCACACTCATCATCGTCATCACCATCACAAACAACCTTACACCCACCATAAGCATCTGCATCATCACCGTCGCCATCGTCAGCATCAGCATCGTCATCCGCATCATCAGCAACAGCATCGCCATAATCGTCATCGTCTGCATCATTACCGCCATCTTAATGATCAGCATCATCATCATCACCAACATCGCCACCATCATCATCATCACTCTCATCATCATCATCATCATCATCATCGTCTTCGCCAACGTCATCGTCAACGTTGTCATCGTCATCCTCATCACCATCACCATCACCATCGCCATAGGTTTCACCGTCACACTCACCACCGCCATCAACATCACCATCGCAGCATCAACATCACCATCACCATCATGACCATCATCATCATCATCCTCATCATCATCATCATTCTCATCATCGTCATCATCACGTGGCTCTGTTCATTTTACGCCGCCAGAGATGATATTCATATCCGATACCACTGCGAGGGCTGCGAGCTGGACAGCGACAACACACATATCGGAGGCGCTCGAAGGGTCCCAAACAGGATCCCCCCCCGCTTTGCTGAGCAGGAAGGTGAAGGGGTAGGCTTGGGGATAGCCGGAAAAAACTTGAGCGATCGTCAATGGAACGATGGCGATGAGACGGCGGTGCTCCAACGCCGCAGACAACATGCCCGAGCAAACACATGCACGTGGCTCTGCTCATTTTACGCCGCCAGAGATGATATTCATATCCGATAGCACTGCGAGGGCTGCGAACTGGACAGTGACCACACACAGATCGGAGGCCCTCGAAGGGTCCCCAACAGCTTCCCACACCCCAAATTTTTGGAACTGGCCTGGCCTACGCGAAGCGACTAAATGGTAGATCGCATACATGTTCGACAAACAGGTGCGGATATGGCTGTGCCACCAGCGTTTAAAAACTTCCCAGTTGCATTTGTTCCTACAAGTTGCTCATGCTTCTTAATAGTGGCCGAGCACCTACCCCTAGTAATGACGCGCTTATTGACACCTGCGAGCTCTGGACATGGACATTTGAAGGCCAGCAGGGACGTGTTTTTTTTTTTTTTCTGCCACGGAGTGCCATGCTGACAGAAACTTGCAGTGTACATGTCAGCACCCAGGCGTCTCAACGAGTTGAAAGGACGGGCCGGCCAAATTCTGGAAGTCATCGGGTTCTCGATGGCCACGCGGATGCTAGAGAGGACGCAAGTACGAGCATGCAAGGCCGAGGCGCGCATGAGTGCGCTGCCTAGGCGGACCTTTGCAGCATCTCTGTCAGAGAGGACGGGGATACCGAGCAGCCCGGGCCCCGAATCTCGGAGGGGGGCGGGGGCGGCCCCCCCCTTCCGAGCTCCGGGCCAGGAGGCGCAAGGGGTCCCCAGCCATGCCAGACGACAGGCAGGCGAGGTGGCAAGCTCGAGGAGGGCCTTCCAGGCCTCTGGTCTCAGGATGTCCTGGTTGGCAGCGTGG